CAGACAACCCAAAAGACAAGGTTTGCATTGAGCATAGGTGCAGTGTCGTGACGCGTTTTACAATAGGACAAGCTAGAGATTTAACTCACCCGTTGGAGCACCGGTACCAGGCATTTGTCCTTGCGTGGCTTGCTGCGGACCTGGTTGCCCTCCGGTCGGCGCACCCGATTGAGGTTGAGCTGGGCTTGGTGCTGGTGGTTGCGCTTGTTGCGCTGCCGTTCCGCCCTCCTGACCACCTACCTTCGCAGTGCTTGTTGGACCGGCGGTGGCGGCGGTATCGATAATTCTGCACACATGCAATATATTACTTATATCAATATATGTATACTGATAGACAATCCTGAAGATTACAGAATGAATTTTAAGCAAGTCCCACCAAATGCTCTCTAACTTCTTCTCGAAGCTATGATATACCTTCTTCTTAATGGCACCTGCTTTCAGGCAAGAATCAATCCGACCAGGATCTTGTGGTCAAACGTGTGAGATGCAATCGATAGAGTTGAATAATATGTAATATGTTTGCTTAGGTTCGACACATAGACCGAGCGTGTCGAGTAAATACGCAATAATGTTCCAAAATGGAGTTTCGATACACGACAGTCCGGACACTTGAGTTACCCGACACCTGTCACCGAGATTCTCAAACGCTTAATTAACGATTGTCGGTACCGTTGCGCAGCTTTTCTTCTATATATTGATAAATTTGAATTTTGATCGACAATGTTAGACGTGGTACGTAGTTCCTTTTTTGAAAACGTGGACGTGAGGCGCTAGTGTACGGGCGAGGATAATTCAGTTTCAGTGATTCAGTTAGGTCTTAGGAGATGCGAAAAATGAGAAAGGAGATCAGTTTATGTTTATGTACACTCTGACGTTTTACGCTCCTTTATTTTACACGTTTCTTATATACAGAAGAGAGGATACACAATAAAAAAAATATTTAAAAAAATACATAAAAAAAAGGCAAAGAAGGAAAGGAGAAACGTAGAGATCCAACGATGAAAAATACACAGTGAAGACAAATCAGTCGCATTTGGAGATGAATAAGTATCTTAGGCACTAGGTATATTATAATCAACAATACGTGAGGCGTTAGATTCCCTTGGCCATTGTCGCTTTTTTTCGGGAATGTAAACATGAATGGCGTGACAACGCGAGGCCAGGAGATATAATCATCCGTTGCTTAAATATTTGCTTTTATCGACATCTCGATTCCCCTAATCCCTTATATAAAAATTAAAAACTCTCTCTCGCGGGAGTGTTAAAAATTACTATCGCATTATAGGCTCAAAACGATTCGATCAAAAATCGCCGCGTAATTCGTGTAATTCTTTCGTCCATTTCGGAATCGAACTGTTTTTGGTTATGATGAAAACTACATCTAATTATTTTCAACAAATTATCTCGTCGTTTGTAAAATATCCAGCATGAAATATTTGAAAAATATGTCCGAAATATTTTATTGCAAGATTTAAAATATTGCAGAATTTTTCATGAAATATTTTTGAAATTATAAAGATGTTCAGGAAATCAGTTTTTGAAATATTTCTTACAATATGTATACAATGATTCTAGAATATTTTTTTACATATTTCAATATATTTTAAAATTTTTTACAAATGCTCACGAAATGTGTCTAAAATTAATTAAATTTAATTAAAATATTTTAAAAAATGAACAAGAAATATTTCATGCTGTATGGGTTATACTGTGCGTTTCATATTAACTGTTAAACAATTTTTAAATTTTAATTTAAGAAATTCACACATGAATTATTCATTACAATCGCATTAGTCTACCAGGCATTTGTCCTTGCATGGATTGCTGCAGGTTTGCTTGCATTCTGTAATTGCGTGACATTGTATCATTCACTAGTTAAAAATTGATAGAAGAATGCTTGAAAAAAGCAATATAATATATTTTTGCATTAGAGCAATATACATGTATATAAAAGAATCGTTGATTATACTGACCTGAGCAACTGCGCTTGTTTTAATTGTTGCTGCAATTGCCGCTGCTTTATATTATGCTTGATGTTAGAACAGAATAGAACGAGACATGTGGTAGTCTCTTTGCAGTATTTTGCATGGTAACAACATAATGCGATTAATTGTTTGCAAATATAACAACCACCATTTGCCTTTCTCTTGCAGTTCATCGTATGTATGACCATTCGTTTTATCTTCTTGCATTTCGGTAGATCACAGTTTGCGTCTCCGCACTGGCAGGCATGCACCAATGACTGAATGCATTCCTGTATCGATAATCTCCTGGCCGCCTATATTGCAGAAAAGGAAAAGGTATGAGAGCAATTGTATTTATTGTAATTACCTCACAGATATTTTGAGAATAATCTCATAAATTACCCGTGCCGTTTGTTCGGCATCAACCGGTGAAGAGCTATGATTCATTTGTTGCTGTACGACTCTACACATTTGTGGATCGGCCGTTGAATTTACACCTAAACATACCGGACAAAGTTTGTCTTGAGCGAAGATAATACACGTGTGATGTGATTCACAAAATAAAGATATATAAAATTCACCCGTTGAAGCATTACTAAACATTTTTTCTTGCATGCCTTGCTGCAGACCTGCAGGTTGCCCTCCGGTTAGTGCACTCGATTGAGGTTGAACTAGACTTGGTGCTGGTGTTTGCGCTGCCATTCTGCCCTCATCCTGTTCACCTATGATGTTCGTAATGCCCATCGGGCCGGTGGTACCGGTAAATTTGCTGGTGGCGGTTGGCGCTTGCATGGAACTTTTGTTCATCTCTACGCCCTTCTGCTACGATTTGACGACACCTGTGGGATTAAATTGGCGTTTAGAAACATAAACAAATTTTTAACTTAAAAAATATATTAATTATATACAAGTTTTTGTATTTTAAAAATAACTAGTTTAAAATTTAAAATTAACTAAGTTAGATTAAAAGTTATCACTTCTTTATTGTGGGCTTCTTCAGTAAAATTATTAACAGTGACTCATCGAAAATTTTATTTAATCTCCGACACGTATATACAGTAACTTGCGAATTCAGTTTCAGACTGCCGAGCACGTGAAGTGCAGAGCATGCATGATGCAAGTCGTAATGAGCGCAAAGCTCGTGTCGTATCCAGTCGTGTCAGGATCAGTCAGGATCTAGTCTGCTGAGGAGTGAATCAGCGAGGATTCGGAAAGGTTCGAATGTACGCGCAGTACGCGGACGGCAACCAATCACGTGACGATCTCGTGGGGTGAAACCTGAAACCATAGTATAGATAGATAAGATAGACCGAGCATGCCATATACCAGGCAGGGGTGGCACGTGCGAGAGAGAGAGAGAGATAACATTGATTTCTCTTTTCTCTCTCTTTAACAAATGTTGTTTCCTGTATGTTAAAAAGAGAAAAGAGAAACCAATGTTGTTACCTCTCTCTCTCTCTCTCTCGCACGTGCCACCCTTGACTAGCATGCCATATAGTATGGATTACCAATCATCGAAATTAGAAAAAATTTTACCGAAAATTTCCTGTCGCTTCTCGACGATACGAGAATCTTCTAAAGAGCACAAATAGAACTACACTTATATATGTCGACGGGAATTTGTTTACATTATTTAAATTTTAACTATTTAACTATTTATTACTCGACCAGTTTATTACTAACAAGTTAAATATTTATGGTGGCCCTCCTCCGAGTCCTGAGAGCGAGAAACGTGACCGAAAGATCGAGACTCCAGAAGTATGACGCGCTTGCACGAAACACATACCTTGTTCTCGAAAAATTTCGCATATTAAAACGTACGAAAATACTACAGTATAGTATACGTTATATATGTATATATAGATTTCTCTAGTATTCGTATGCAAAGTTTTTCGAAGATAAAGTCTCAGGTAAGACCTCGAAAATCCATTGAATCTCGGCGCAGCAATGATCCTTTGGATCCGACGAGATGAAAATCCTTCGACTCCTTCGTCTCTCGTACGCCTGCTGTAGCGTTATTTCAAATTTAAATTGTTTCGTTAAATGTAATGTCTTGATTATGGAAGGAGGATAAGCACAGCTAATCTAAAATATTTTTGAAATTACACACTAGATCATAATAAAGATATATGTATGTATTTATGACTTGTACATTTATAATTACAAATGATTAAAGATTAACTATAAAATCTTTATATAATCCGTCCGATCTTTCAACGATAATTGTATTTCTATAACAGAAAACAATTTCCATGAATATGTCGTAAAATGCTAATATGATAAACCGAATTCAATCATCAATGCGTTTGATCAATAAAAGAATAATTAAAATTGTAAAATTGTACAATGATGACACAATTTCAATATAATTTTCTTCCGGATAAATTTTACAAGATCTGAACCAAGGCATGTGCTATAATCTACGTAATTAATATATTAGACTAGGCTCCGATAAAAGAATTTACATAATAAGTGTTATATAAAATTCGATATTATTTTCAATATTAAATGTAATCGGCTATTTCTGTAACATGTAATCTAATCGCCTTGGTAATGCGGATTTCGTTGCGGCATGATAAAAAAATATTATATCATTTCATATATCTAACGCTAAAAGTAGGACATCTTAAAACGAACAATATTACAGATTCTTAGTTATTCGTTGCACATAGTTGATGATAAAAATGCCCCACGTTGACTCTATGTAAATCTAATATGTAAAACCATAATTGTACCCAAAGATAAGAGAATCTTTAAGATTTAAATAATACTTCGTTTTATCGAATCAGAAAACCCCGATCCCGAGGATACTTCTTGACGAGACTATCGACAACTCTGCCGTTCGTTCACTTCCCTTTATATGTAACATTACATTTTTGGTCCGTTTTTATATTGCTGTACAATATTTCGATTGCCTCTTCTAACTGCATAGCCAATTTTGTTTGAAGCTAAACCACTGCTACGTAAAGAATAAAATGACATTATTTCGTAAAGGCGGTGGACGCTGTCTTTCTGCAATCACTACGTCGACACCGCAATCTTTCGTTCAAATTCATTCGTATTTTTCGCGCAGCACTACTATTCTAACATGCTATCCTAATGTCTTAAAATAGAAAAAAAATATCCTTTCTTTCATCTACATAACATAGCAAAAAGTTCACACACTTAATCTATTTAACATCCGTGTAATTTATCTAATAATTTGTATGATACAAATTCGCCTCCTACGTTAATTCGTCCGTGCACAGTTTCCTCTCCTCCTCCACTCGCTGCCGCGTTCGATTGAAAGCCTCCGTTTTCACGAAATCCACGGTTTTGTACACTGTCGTATTCGGGAGGGACTGCGCGGGCGGTAAGGTCGAGGAGCTGAAACTCTCCGTCGCCTCCAAGTCGAGATCCAGATACTGCAGCACCACTAAGCGATTAGACGCCGGGGTGAACGTGTTGTCTTGATCTTGATAGTAGTATATCTGGAAATCGAATTACGCATTGAGAGAGTATGAAATCACGCGCGCCACGTCACCTGCACAATAAGCTCAGATTACGCGCGATTCCTAGAACCGTTTCTACAAACCTCTTCTTTATCCTCGAACGCGTTATTGTCTTCGTCCGACGTCGATTGATGACGTGTTGATGTCGAGTGCACATGCGACGGAAGCGTCGGACTGGGTGCCGCCCGCATTCTTCCTCTCCCGGGCGGGGACGCCAATTGTAGATGAGGTGCTGCGGGGAAAATTACGCGTTAAATATTTCTCTTTGCATACAAAAGGGAAAAGAGTGGATAAAGAAAGGAAAGCCTACCCTCCACCGGTGATTTATTCAACGACGGCTTCAGCTTCCTGTTGATGCTCGGCGGTTCGGCCGGAGAGTGCTCGGCGGAGCTCACATCGTACAGCGCTATTGTCGGACCCGGTGACGGTTCGTTGCTTATGACAGACATCGAGTCGCTAGTCTTTCTGCCCGGCTTCAGCTCTCTGTACACCATCGGCGGAGGCGGCGCCATGGTGGTCGGCACGCTCGCGCCACCGTCCCGCACGAGAGGGCTCGGTAGATTCGAATACGTCACCGTGGTCGAGGTTTCGGAGCGCGGACTTGACGGCTCGATCTCGTGGAAATCGTAGCGGAATACATTCTGCGTCTCGTCAACGATAGTGCTCGGCGCGGCGTTCGAGTAGAAGTGCTTTGACGACTGATCGGCCGCCGTGTTACTCTCGGCTTGCGTCGCCTGTGCCGTCTGCGGTTGGTGAGATCTGGGAAAATCGTACGACTCGTCGGTCACGACGCCCGTCGCCGTCGTCGTCGTCGTAGCGGCGGCAGGCGTCGTCGGCGCCGGCGTCGCCGGGGTGCTCGGCTTCGAGCTCTCGGTGGCACCGTCCAGATTCAGGTAGTTGTGACCGGGATTTTCAGGTAACATATGAGGCGGTTTCGGTGGCCTGGGCGGTGCTGGTAACTTGTCCACGGCCGGTGGAATCGTGGAATCGACGATCCTCAGCTTGCCGAAACGTTTTCTCACGCTCCACGAGCCGATCTCGTTGTCGCCCGGGCCAAGAGGTCGTGAATCACCTGTCGCGATTTCATTTCATTTGGTAAAGATAAAAAAAAAGTAAATTAAATCACGCGCATTATCAATCTATCACTTACCCGTCGACGGAAGCGTGTCCCAATTCGCGCTCGTCACGGACGTCCACTCGTCATCGGTGAAAACGCTCTCGGCGTCCGTCGTCGTGGGCGAACGCGGCGGCGAGGGTGCCAATCTTCTCGGGGCGTCGTAATGCTCGGGCCCCTGTCCAAGGGCCGAATTCAGGGAGCTGGTGTCGTTGAGCCGACGACCGGAAATGCACTCGCTAATAGGAATGTAGGGGCCGGAGATCGTGCTGGTGGGCGAAATAGGCGGCGATTCTTGAGACTCGTATTGGTACACTAAAAGAAAAATTGATGCATATTGCTGTCAAGCTCACTTCAGATGATCTACTGTTCGTGTCAGAAATCAGAAATCTATCTACAATTTGACACGCTTGCATATATATATATTCAATGCAAAAATGCGCAAGTAACAGAAAAGCATGAGACGAGAATTTAAATTGCATTACTTTGTTGCTCCTCGTCCTGCGTGTACGCCTTCAGACCGCAGACTTGGCACACCGCGTCCACCCATTTATTCATATCTGCTTCGTTCTCAGCGACTAAATAGTAGATCCTTTTCGGCGTCTTCACGTTAAACATGTACTGATACTTCTGTTTACGATTTTCGAATCGAAGACCCGCGTCCACCTGTAACAAAGTGTGTTAATAAGTGTCCACAGCTCGCGGGAAGGATTTTGTGATACAGATACAGATTTTGTAACACGCAATGGACCTACCTGTTCGCACTGATCCAGATCGATACGACCCTTGAGTTTACGGCAGCGTCTGTCCGTGTAATATTCCAGAAAGTATTGGCCAGGCAGCTCGCCACTATGGCGAAGGGCAAACCACCGCTTTCTCCATCGCTATTAAAAAATATTGGAGATAAGACCATTTACCTTCAGGTCAAATTTATCATTGGCACACGGTATGTACAATCAAATTCACGTCTTGTCCGATAAGCGTGCCATGTATGTCGCTTATCGCGAGGGCTATACCTCTCTTCAAAGTAACGAATAAATGAATAACGAAAGTAGGAGTAATAGAAGGGGTGATGTAATATCAAAAGTAACATAAAAAGTAGCAAGAAAAATCTCGCGGACGAATTCTCTCGAAACTAGGTTAGGCCGAGATATTTCTCGGCTCAGGTAGCGAACCAGAACTGTCATCGCCGAGCTTAACGCTCGAGCTTTCCACGGAAGATACGGCGACGGTCCGTAGTCTCACAGTGGACTCCTCGTAGGAGACAAAAGGAAAGGGGAATTTGGTGATTCCAGGGCGAAACGTAAACAATGAGCGGGCCCTCCGTCTGGGAGCCTCGTAAGCAAATAAGAGGCGCGTATGCAACGGATCCGTATTAATACTTAACACCGACCGCTCGCCAGAGCTTGGTGGGCGGCGATTTGATGAGCCACCCTTCGTGGACGATCTCCTGGGACGTCTTGAGCACCTCCATCTCCTCGTCTCCACCCGGGCGACGGAGGACCAGGGCGGCGCGATCGCTCGCTCGCCCGCGCGCGCTCGTTGAGAGTGCGATCTACGATCTCGAGTGGCGCGAGGGCATTCTGGACGAGCGCGAGGAACCACCGACGACGGGGATGACGACGCGCACGTCGTCCATTCGTCTATTTTTGGCCCCGACGGCGCAACACGGAGAAACGGAGCGAGACAGCCCCTCACATACGCACACCGTCGACTGTCCCTCCCCTCGTCCCTCTCCCCGTCCACGCACCTTGCATGAGCTCCGAGCTCCGCTCCCTGCCGACCCTAGCTGTCTCTCTTGCGCGCGCACGCGCGACGGTACCGACACGCCGGGGAAACGGAGAATCAGACCAACGCACGCCCGGAGCAGGCCGCAACGGGACACTGGCGAGGCGGCAGCCTCTCGACGCGGCGCACAAAGACGCGCGACCGCGGCCGTGTTTCTCCGTCTCGCCTCGTCCCGTCCACCGCGACGACGTTTACCACCACCACCCCCCTCGTCGTCGGTGGCCACGCGTGCCAAGGCTCGCCCGAGTGACATGACACACGGTGCCCGCTCCGACTATACGCGGGCACCGACGATGACAGCGCAGTAAACGTGTACGAGGACCCCGCGGCCGTCCGAAGCCTCGATTTTAGGCGTTGCCTCGCGAGCGTGTTCGTTCTCCGATATTCGCATTCGACATCTCTTCCTATACTTCGATCCGACGAGGAAAGATAAAGGATATCTCTATAATGATCAAAGCTTTAACGATGAGGATGTATTAAGATTCGGCGCTGGAATAATTAATTGTCGCCAATCGCATCGGGCAGAGGAATTTCGCGCGAATCGGAAGGAAGCTGACAATGAGTTCGCGGACAATGCGAAAAAAAAATGTCATGAATCGCGGTTTATTCGCGTCCGCCGTCGATTTCCTTCGTCTTTCCGTCCACTAATTATTCCCCCCTCCACCCGCGCGATTATCGGTAATTTTGCGCCGCTCGCGCGCGGCCGCGTTTTACGACACGTTCGGAAACGAATCGGCGTGATCTTGCCCGCTTTCTCGCGGGGAGCGCCCCGTCACCGGTACGTTCGAGAAATTTCCAATGACGCGCGTTCGATCTCTCACGTCACTGGGATGCAGAGCGTGCAGGCCACTCGCACGCTCTTTCCGCCACGTAGATTAATATCGATCGCGATACTTGCTCGCTCGATTCGCGATGTAATACATAAGATCTGTTAACGACGTTCCACGCGAGGAGGAGTTCACGGCTTCGATCAAGCTCCGATTAACTTAATCGACGATCAATTTGACCGTCAGATGTCCGTTGTCGATTTCTATACATATGTAGATTAATTTTTGGTTCAGCTTTTTGTCCTTTTCTAAGAATTAGGTGAAAGTAAAAAAGATGAGGAGAAAATTAAACCGCGATTGAAATTAATATAGATATCGATAGAAATAGATAAGAGTCGCCTAAAACAAATTTTCAACCATACAGCTCGTTGCTCCTAATTTCTTTTACCATATGTTAAAATTTAAATGACAAAACATTAGTAATTCTATATCCTTAATGAAATATATATATAGTGACTTGATAATTTAATCACCGATTAATCCAAGCCAAAGTCGCTTTAAGACCATGCCCTGATTATACAATTTTTCGAGCGGAAACTGCGGAAAGGAAGGAGTTAACGAGATTTATGAATTCCACAGTAATCAGCCTCGGGAACGTCATGCGTCTCGTTTTGCCGACTCCTTTCGCCGCGAATGCCGCTCGCGAGCGTCGAAGCGCAACGTACACGGCGATGGATTTCGCGACGAAACCGCGCGCTCGCGGAAGGGCAATGCCGCGCCGCGCATAATGCAGGGAATAGGCACTTAATTTGCAATTCAATGGGCCAACGCGCCGTAGACCGTGCCGATCGATATTCAAATCCGGTTCTCTCTCGTCTATCGCGCCGGTAATCCCCAGGTAAATCTGACGGCCGCCGTGAGCGAGGACGCCTCGCGCGCGGAATTTCATGATCGATCGATCGTTCCCGCGTTTATACGGTCCGTCCCGTTGCACCTGGGTTGCTGAGAATCGCACGGTAAAAAAAAAAATTGAGATGCACCCGTTGGAGACTGAACGCTACGAAAATTGCGCGCCAAGTTCTTTCCTATATTCGTATTCCGTTACGTGGTATGTCCGTCGCAGATCTTTCTTTTATCGCGAATAATTTTACGTCGTCGACGTAAACGGGAAATTCACGATTTGCCTGAGGTCCGACAGAGAATCATCCCCGTTTTTCCTCACCCTGGCAAAAATAAAAATCGAAGCGTATAAGTCGAATATATAAGAGTACAGTGAACAGAAGCTTCGCGAAGTTCGCTTCTGTTCACTCACCCCTTACATTCGACTTACGTTTCCCAATCTTTATATTCTCGCCAAGACGCATCTAAAATCTGTTCTCCGCGACGAGGATAATTCAGTCAGCGCAGGAGAGATGCAAAGGAGATATATGCGAAAAGAAGATCGGTTTATGTATATACTCTGGCGTTTTACGCTCCTTTATTTTACACGTTTCTTATATACAGAAAAGAGAATACACAATAAAAAAAAAAATACATGAAAAGAAACATGTAAAGAAAAAACGGTAAAGAGGGAAAGGAGAAACGTAGAGATCCAACGATGAAAAATATACAGCGAAGCAAAAATCAGTCGCATTTTGGAGATGGATAAGTATCTTAGCCATTAATCAACGTCGCTCCAAATACGCGAGGCGTCAGATTCCCGTGGCCATCGTCGCTTTTCTTTCGGGAGTGAAATATGAACGGGCGCGACAACGCGTGGCCGGGAGATATAATCATCCGTTGCTTAAATATTTGTCCTCTCTTATCGACATCTCGATTTCCCCTTGCGTGAAAACCGCATTTTATCCTTCTTCTCTTTCTCTCTCTCTTTCGCGCGGGGAAAAGTGTTAAAAATTACTACATCGCGATAGGCTCAAAACGACTCGATCAAAAGTCGCCGCGTAATTCGTGTAATTCGCTCGTCCGTATCTCGAGATCGAACGCGCGCGGATTTCTTTTTCTTTCGGGAACGCCCCTTCATCCCCCTCTTTCCTTTATTAAATTTCTACAAAGAGCCTCTCTCTCTCCTCTCTCTTTATCTCGCCGTCGCTACGCAACTCGTACTAAATTCTAGTCTATATATCGTACATGTTTTATACATTGAGCGCATCGTCGGAGGCGTTCGCCGCACTCCGCGACAGGTGTTCCGCGTGCAACGGCCGCCGTTACACGTGTTCGTTCGCACGCGTGAGACGCGTGTACCACGGGTCCCCCGGAGCAGGGGGNGGGGGGAGGGAGGGAGCGAGGACTCTGAACTTCCTCCCTTCTTCGGCGTCGTTATCGCGCGGGCGAGGATGCGAGGGTATCGAGAGGGGAAAAAAAAGCGGTATATGAGGAACGATGACGACGATCGCGTTTCGGACTTTGGTCCTTACTCGCGGAGAATGCGTGTCCTTTTTCCGGCGGCGATTACGGAGAAATCGTTCTATATATGAATCGCGTAAGCTTAGAGATTTGCAGGTCCCAACGCGATCGAAAAGCGATCGGTTTTATTTTTTATTTTTTTGTTCACAGCGAGCGGCTGAGGACGCATCCTTCGCGATTATACACGCGCGGGATAAGACAATCGGAGAACATCAGCGTCCTTGGCGAAGTGTGTCAATTGGATTCATCCTCTTTATTCGATATTTATTAATTACTATATCTCTACGCGCGCTGGCGGCGATTAATTGTGTTGGAGATCCACGTTTTACAAAGTATACTTCTTTCTCTCTCTCTCTCTCATCACTCACTCTCCTTTCTCTCTCGTTCACACACATTCTCATATTCTCTCTGATAAAAATGATCATCGCGATCACGTGAAAAAGGCGTGTCTTGAAAACGCACAGGTACAAACACATGCGGTGCCTCCGAATGACGATACACGAGACTATTTCGTCAGATTAATTCTCTCGCGTTGTACGTTAATAGTATATGTATATATAATGCATTTATGTATAAATATATACAACGTATATGTGTGTATGTATGAGTGTGTACGTGTAAAACGCATCGCGGTATCCTTCCCATCGATAGACGGAGAATCTCACGTTGTTCCCCTCTGCAATCAAGGGCGTTAGATTGCGCCAACTACGTGAAAAAAAAAAGATAGGAGGAAAACGAGGAGCGAGAGGGTCAACAGTATAAGTATGTATATGGTGAAGGACGAGCGAACTTTGGTCCTAATTCGTGTTGTCGCGACGAGCGGATTTTCGTGAACGACCGAAAGTATTTCGAGAAAATGCCCGCGAGAAAAAAGTCTCTTGAGGAATGCTCTCGAAATCAAAACGCGATCAAGGAGGAAGCGCGAGCGGGATCAAAGGGCGCGCGAGTAAATGGAGCTGTCGAGTCTACGAAAATCGAGTGAAAATTCGCGGGGTCTCCTTACAGACGGATGTCTCTCACTTCAACGTAACAGAAGTCATAATCTTCAACTACCACCTTCCTCAACAATTCCGTGACGACTCGGATGGAAAAAGTATCACATTGAATTTTCGCGAAGATCACCGATGATCGCGAACCCCTCTTCGGACAGCTAAAAGCTACAGACACGGCGCGGGTGTCGTTGCAATTGAACTAGGGAACTGTAAACAATTGGAGATAGCGACGACACATCCGCTCGTTATAGAATATAGAATAGAAGAACTTTAGTCTCTCCTTTCGTGCATCAAACGCCAGCGAAGGAAAATAGCGAGTCTAAAAAATGCGGGTTGTGAATGGTAAGAAAGAAAGAAGGGAAGAGGGTGGTCCTCTCCCCCGTCCCTCTTTGCGCATCGAGCATACGAAAGCCGGCGGAAAAATAAAAATGGAATGTATTTTCGAAACTCTTTCTTTTAATAATCATATAACAATACTCGTTATATTCACGATCAACATACAATTACTCTTATCTATACGTTGCAAATGTTACATAAAAAAGATATCCGTTCTGCGTTTTCTAAAATTATAAAAACGACGGTAGCAAAAGTTTCGGAACCTGGGCGGGGGCGGTGAACGTCGGAGGCGCAACGTTCCCACCCTGCCCTTTTAGTTTTTTTTTCTTTCTTTCTGTCTGTCTTGTATTAAACGCTAAAAACGATAGGTAAAAAAAGGACGACGGCGGGGGGGGGGGGAGATATAAGTGTTGTTAATGTAAACTAAAGTTTTTCCTAAGTCACTCTGCGGTTTCTTCTTTTTTTTTTCATCTCTCTCTTTCTCTCGATATCGAGCTTAGGACACGTTGTCTAGGAGTCGTTCCCGCGAGAACGGCATTTTCGAAATCCCAAGTCGGGCAAAAGGAAGGAACACACGCATATCATCACGTCATTGTGCAATCTCTTATCACGAACGGCGAATGCACTGACTCGGCGCGAGGACGAGAGTGCGGCGCAACGAAACGAGGAAGAGGGAGAGGTGTCGAGGAGGAGATCCTCCTTCTCTTTCGCTCGATATATATATATATATATATACACATATATGTATATATATATATCCTCTTGATGATCGGGAGGGACGGGGGAGAAACGTTACATTATACGTCTCATTAATCTTTAATTAGATAATTAATTCACTATTTACGAAAAGTCATAATAAAAAGTAGTACTCTATATATTCGGTATTTCAATAATAATATTGTAATAATTTTATATATATATATGTATATTCCAATAGCTTCATCTGCAGTTATCGTCTAAATCGGATAATTAATTCATCTGCAGTTATCGTCGCGCGTGTATGTGTATACAGATCGCGGCTTATAAATCCTTTTTTTCTCTTTCTTTCGAATACGTTTGATAAATATAAAAAAAATTGAAATATCTATATATATATATATATAGCGTTGCATGTAGCATTCACTCCTTTTCCTCATTCGTTCACTCGTTCGTTCGCACTTTCGCACTCTCTCTCCCTCATTCGCTTACAATAGTAAATCTCGTTACGAATGCCTCGTGCACCAACGAATCTCTTTCCCACGTGGCATCGCTCTCTCTCTCTCTCCCTCTCTCTCTCTTCGCGTACTTCCGATATTAATGCAACCATCCGAGAAGAGAAAGAGAGAGTAATGCCGACTGGATGTAAGCACCGTTGGTTCGTATTGTCGATCGATTGCTAAAGGGCTCGATTTTCGCAGCTTCTCGCCCGTCCTTGCTCCCTTCTGGGAGACAGCGAGAGGGCGGGAATCAACGATGATAGCTACGAACGTCGGTCTTCGATGGGAAGAGCTGTGCTCGATCGGATTTCTTTCTTTCCCTCGTTTTTTTTTTCTTTCCTCTCGATCGCCGAACGCTCCCTTCCGTCTCTCGACAATTAATCAAACGCGAGAGTTGGCACGCGCGGCGTTCGTACGTCCGTACTCCGTCAAGTGTGCCGCTACCGCGAAGGTGTACCTACACGCCACTTTACTCAGATTTACAGCACTGCCCTAAAAACACAGCCATACTAAGCCAAATACTTTTTGGGTTTTCTTTTTTTACACAATTATTTTTCTCTTTCTCTCTCTCTCTTTCTCTCTTTCGCTAGTAAGATCGTTTATTTGAACATAATACACTCCATTTACCATCACTCTCCGCGTGCATCTTTCCCCAACAGTTCTCGCTTGTTTCTTATCAAAATTGTTCGATTCGAAAACAAAATAAAAAAACAAAATAAAAAAAACAAAAGGAAGATGAGAAGGAAAGGAAAAAAACCGCGTACACGGGATGCGCCCACGATTCCGCTCGATTCTTCCAAAGTCTCTAGCAGCCACTAATTAAAAAAGAAAAAGCGAATCCGATTCGCGAAAGGAAAGAAAGGAGGGAAAAAAAACTCGGCTCTCCCTTTTCGGAGCAGGCACGAAGAAGAAGCGAAGCAGTCATCCGAAGCGACGCGACGCGACGCGCGTTCTTGCTCTACGCGAAACGTAATCTAGAAGAAGGAATGTGTATCTTGGTACCAAGCTTCCTTTTCTTAATTCTTTCTTTCTCTTCATCGCCTAATCGAGATTTCTCGCGAAGGGGGAGCAGGTGCGAAAACGAAGTCCGTAAACGCGCGTCGCAAACCCCGCGACGTCGACGTTCGCCGGGAAATGCGGACGAACGGGGATGGACGGCGAACGTCGGCGGTGTCGACCGTGAGCTTCGGAGAATCCCCGATTGCACTCGTAACGATCTACCCGAGAAGAATCGATGCACCCGATCAAGGTCGACCGCTGACCTTGATCGAGTTCTGCCAAGTTAGCTCTCTCTCTCTTTCTCTCTCTGCCTCTAACTCTTTCTCTACGTTTTTTTTTCTTTTCTCCTTCGCTTCGTTGATCCCGCGAGAGTGACTTAACGAGAAACACGATCCAAGCGCGTGCCGCTGAGAAACAAGAATTCGTAGCACATCTGTGTACTTCAAATGAACGTACGTCTTGAGCGAAGACGTGTACATATAACCGGCGTGTGTGTATATATTTTTCTCGGTGTGGCTAATTAAAAGAGTATCGATGGGTGTCCGCTTGATAATTAGCGCGCGAGCTTAGCTCCCGAGGATCGCGAATCGTCCTCGCGTCCGCTATTATCCTCTCTTTTTACATCGCTTTATGCTTCCGCGTGTCGTGTGTACGCGTATGTGTATAGGTGTATATGTGTGTATTAGTTTTAATCTTCCCTTCCTTCCGAATTACGTTTTCTATCTCAATCGTCAGTTGACTTAATTGTACAAGATATAGTTATATTATACAAAGTATGCACTTCAAAAATATCCGACGCCACGGACCTTTTGAACCACAACATGCTTCACGATTTTCTCACGTTATTACTAAAATCATTTTAAATAGGTGGCGAAGAAAAAGATAGGTGTGGGGGGAGGGAGGTCGAGGTGGGTAGCCGAGCGAAAGGTAGGGGGTAAGGGTGGAGGAGGAACTTACACTTACGAGCTTCACTATGATACAACACTGGCAATAGTCATGTAATGTGGTTCGGTGTGTGTTTTGTACGCGGGCCAATCTGTAACCCGTGTGTAGTAATAACGCGCGTGAACTCCTCTCTCCCTCTCTGTCGTTTGTTGCAAATATTATAATAAATCTGCATGAATTGATCATAGTAATAGATTAATGATTGATAATAATAATAATAATAATATATTATAATATATATAATAATAATAATAATATTAATAATATAAATCAATAATGGGCAGGTAAATTAATAATCGTCGTAATAATAGTCTAGTATTTACAGAGTTTTCACGTGAGGGCCCGGTATCGAATACGCATTCTCATTAGTTACATTTTGATTGAACTGTACAGTGGACACAGTGGACCCTCAACCGGAGAAAACTACATCGTTCTACCCTTCTCTCTTTCTCAAAATTAACACGTTTTTATATAAACCCTCCCGCGCACACTAGCAGCCTGTTGTGAATTTTAATTTTTTTTTCTTTTTGGTTACGACAAACGTTAACTCGTCACGCGTGAACGATTCTTTCGGTAGGACATGGTTGGCCAAGCATTCTACCGACAGTATCGCCGCTCTTTCAAGTTCCACAGACGCGGCTCGCGGCATTTCGGAAAATGTCGGAGTTATTCGCGATAAATCCATAAAATTTCATGGTTAAGAATACAACCTTCGGTGTGGCGCTTAGGGATATCCTTTTAATAACAAATTCTCTCCTTAAACGAATATATTACTTAATATAAGACCTAAATTATCTTTCCCCCATACATACAACATTCTAGTGGATACTCCCTATTTATATTACCGTTTATCTTTCATACAAGTCTTTATCATATACTTTGTATTTTTCGTTACGGTAATATTAATATATTGGTATATAATTGCGTACATTTACGATACTAGTTACGAACTAATAGTATTTGAACTATTAATTATTAATGTTAAGTATACACAACATACATGTTTTATATATATATATATATGTATATATATATATATATTTGTACGATTTCACTCACCCTGCACGAGTAGCAGCGAGGAAGAGTGGCAGAGTCGAGGCGGCTCTGGAGGATACGAAGGGAGGATACGTAAATAATAGTCTCTCGATAGTGTTTCGCTTTAGTTAGTCTTTCGTTCCTCCTCGTTCTACCGATTTTCATCTCTCTCTCTTTCTCGACCAAGGACGAAAACAATATTGAGTCTATTTGAGCCAGGCCGAGAAGAATTGAAAAGCACCAACGTCACGTTACCTTTCCCTCTTGTCTTTCGACGTATCGCATAATGTAGAAAATCGAAAGAAAAGATATGCGCGCGCGCGAACCGAGCGTCTCGTTTGCGGCATTGAAGTTAGCGAAATCGAAAATCCTATCCCGCGGTCCTGAGGGAGTTCAAGCCCTCAGGCGTGTCAGGCTCAATTGCTCGGCGAAACTTGATGAAACGCGCGTCAGGCTTTCTCCTTCAGTCTCTATCGGCGTGCGCGCGCGCGTGCGAGCTTCAAGATTAATTATCTAATTACGCGAACGTTTCGTATTATTTATAAATTCACGCGACGCGGACGGTCGCAGCCGTCCGAGCGCCGCCGTCGTCGTCTCCGTTAAGGGAAACACTTACATAACCATCGACCGATGTGATCGTCCGTAACAGTCACTACAACCCCTCGACGAACTTGGAGAGTTGGTCCTGCGGCGTCATCGGCGTCACCTCGTTGGCGTCTGCGCCGCCATTCGTGGGCGCCGGCGCCGGCGAGGGATGATGAGGCATTGCGGCGGGATGGCCGGTGGGCGCACCTGGACCGCCACCCAGCTGCGAGAGCATCATCTCGCTGGGACCGCCGCCGAGCTCGTGGGCCGGCGAATGTGTCGGCGTGCCGTGAGGCGGATGATGATGCGGCGATGGCACCGGACCCGACCGCGGCGACGGTACCGGCTGATTACGAGGGGAAGGGACAGGTCGCGGCGAGGGGTTGGGCTGTGGAGATCGGATGGGCGGTGGCGAACGGACTGACTGCATCAACTGTTGTTGCACGGAGATCCCCGGCGGACCCATGACGCCTTGCGGCGAGGGCACGGGCGGTGGCGTAGGTTTCAGACCTGGCTGACCGTAGCCCTGTTCGTTGAAACCGCCGTAACCTAGGGAGTTGGGCAAGCGTTGGTGTCGAGATACACTACGTACTAGAGCCCCACTGTTTCCTAAGTAATTACGTTGCTGCATGTTTCCTAAGTAATTACCAAGAAGCGGCCGTATAGGTCGTTGTTGACCGTATGGTGGCGCCGGAGGTTGAGTGAATGGCTGCTGCTGCTGCTGCTGCTGCTGCTGTTGCTGCTGCTGCTGTTGCTGCTGCTGCTGAGCCACTTGTTGTCTCTGCTGCATCACCAGCTGCATCTGTTGTTGTTGTTTGTAAGCCCATTGAGGCTGCGATTGCACCGACTGTTGCTGTTGCGCCTGCTGCGTCAGCATCTGTATCTGCAGTCTACCCTGCTGTTGCTGCTGCTGCGGCTGCTGTTGAGGTTGCTGCTGCTGCTGCTGCTGCTGTTGGGACATCATATGCTGCAAACCAGGTTGTTGTTGTTGAGGTTGATTAGGACCCAATGGGCCGCCGACTCCCCCGCTATGTTGACCAGGTTGTTGCTGATGAATAAGTGCAGCCTTTTTATTAAGAAAATCAGTAGTCAAATATGCGCGTAACAATATAGAACACGTTATAATTTTGTTAACCCTTTGTGATCACCTCTTAGAAGTTCCATAATGGTCGTAACAGGGGCAAAATGACCCTAGCGCATTTAACCGGTTGCCGTACTCATAATTTTGATTCTTTAAAGTAAAAAAAATTACTAATCATACTTTGAACATTGTAGAATATAGAAATACAGCCGCTTTGTAAAAATTTTAACATGTTTAAAAAAAATTGTAACCTTTCAATTTTTAATTTTTTAAATTTAAATTTATGGCTATACTATAAAAACACTTTGAGAAAAAAAATCACGTCATTGATGTCAGAATGACTCTAATGCAAAGTTACGCGAACAGCTGTTATGCGAACGCCTGACACGATGATAGCAATACTGGCGTCTAGGCCCAAAGAGAATCTTAAACTTTAGGTAGATGTCAAGTCGAAATAAGAATATAAAGATACAGGGTCTCAAACTTTTTTTAGGCTCCAATGAAGCCCCCCCTCCCTCACGTAACCACGATGGGTTAATGTCAATCAACTTACTCGTTGCTTAATAAAAGCAGCCATTAACGGTGGATTGCTCTTGAGTATTTGGAGTATTTGGTTCTGCTGGTCGGGCGTGTGCGGGTTCCTGAGAGTCTGCATCAGTTGCTGAAGAGCATGCTTCTGCATACCTCCCTGCGGACCGACCTGTCCCACAGGTCCGATCACTCCTGGTTGTCGCGGCAATTGAGCACTCATTCCCATCCCCGGTTGAGCTTGATGCTGCTGTTGCTGCTGCTGCTGCTGCTGCATTAGCTGTTGCGGTGTCTGTTGTCGCGCCAAATTGGGATTTTGTTGCATAACTGTATTCGATTGGTACCTGCTAAGAAGATGGAGAGGCAAGAGCTCTTTATCACGCGGTCTTCTTCAATTATAATTCATTAGTCATAGTGAATCCACTATTCACTGTAGTGATGAAGAGTTATATATAGGAAAATGCAAAGAAAATACGTGAATTTAATCAATACCTGGTTGTCCATTGTTCCATCGGGATGAGATGGGTACCGCTAGGATTCGGCATTTGTACCGGTAATGGCCGTTGCATCTGTGGCGGAGGCATCACCCCGCCCGTCTGCCCGCCCACACCGACACCCACGCCAACACCTCCACCCGGAGTCACTTTGCCGTAACTGACGTGTGGTGCTTGTTGTCTCGCAGCTTCCTCTTGTACTTGCTTCACCACCTGTAGCACATGAGCGGGAGGGGTCTGTGTCCCGGGCTTCAATCCGATACCCGGTTGATGTGGTGTCGGCAAATTCGATGTGCTGACACCAGGTTTCATAGCGACTCCAGTCGTCATGGCAACGTTTGACGTCTGTTGTCCAGCCTGCATTGCGGCCACAGGTCCGGTTGGTCTTGTATTCATCACAGCCATTCGCCTCCTACACGAGTAAACACAAATATAGATGAATGTTTTTGATAAATAAAATGCAAAAGAGTACAAACATGTTCACGTGTTTTTAGTTCAGGTAGCATTTTACAATTCGCTACTTAGTAAAAATTAATAAAAAAATGTTTCTAAAAAAAGGCAATAAAATATATTTTTGCCCTAGAACAATATATATGTATATAAAAAAATCGATGATTATACTGACCTAAGCAATTGCGCTTGTTGTAATCGTTGCTGCAATTGCTGCTGCTTTATTTTGTGCTTGATGTTAGAACAGAATGGAACGAGACACTTGGTCTCTTGGCAGTGTTTTGCGTGATAACAACATAACGCGATCAGTTGTTTGCAAATAGGACAACCACCATTTGTCTTTCTCTTACAGTTCTTCGTATGCATAACTACTCGCTTCATCTTCTGGCAGCTCGGTAAACGACAGTTTGCATCTCTGCATTGGCAAGCATGCACCAATGACTGAATGCATCTCTGTATCGACAATTTTCTGGCCTCCTACATTGCAGAAACGAAAAAGATATGAGCGCATTATAGATTTATCATAATTATATCATGAATAGTTTTAGAACAACCCGATAAGTTACCTGTGGATTCGTTTGTTTGGCGTCAGCCGGCGAAGAGCCATCATCCAAGTCAAAGCCAAGCTTCTCCATCGGATGCGGATGACCATCTTTTTCTTTACAACTCACACACAAATCGAAATCCTGTAATAAAATCGAAATTATAACGAAAGTTACGAAAAGGAGCGCGAGTATTTATTTCCGAAATAATTTTAATACGTACGTCACAAACTGTACAATGGTATCGGGTCTCCACATGACTTTTGCAGTTATTGCAAGTGTAAACGAACTTGTCTTGGCCTTGATTATGCAACTCGTACAGCATGGACATGGAACTGAACTTCGCTCTCCTAAGCGATGAAAATTCGTAATGCCTCTCCCTCGCCATTGTGAGAAAGGCGTCACGACCGTCCATTAGATCACAATTAATAACAGGATCGGGATCTTGAATAGGCTGAAGATTTAAGTAAAATCGCATTTAATTAATAATCGCATGCACCAATCTTTTAGAGGAAGAGAAGTCTGTTTTTTTTAAAGCACAGTAAAAAAAACTTACTGCTAAACTGGCTGCACTTTGAGCGCTGTGCAACCTAATGACGAAGAACACCTCCTTATGCTTTTCCATGGTGGCAAAGATTTTCGCAGAAAGATCATTGCCGGTCTGGGGAGTATTCGATTTCTTGCTATTTTTCCTTTGATTCGCTTTAGATTTGTTGGATTTCTTCGCCTTCTTCTGGCCCTTCTTTTTACCGTCTGGAGTTTCCGCGTCTTCGGATAGCGAAAATATCTGAAAAAAAAAAAAAAAATACGAGGCATAAATATACGAGGAATATACGAGAAAGACGGTTATTTCATGCAAGCAGAAACATTTATCGTCCACAACTTACCGCGTTCGCTGCAGCAGCGGCTGCTTCCGCTGCTTCAGCTTGTTTACGTTTCTCTTCCTCTTCTTGATCTAATTCTTTAATACTTTCTTCCAACACGTTCGGCCAAAAGTCGCCCTCAAAATACGGTAAGTCCGCCGCGGACGAAAGCCTGTCTTCCATGGCTTGTTTTAAGATGTCCTGCGTATACAAAAGTTTCATTTATATATTTCTGTCTCAAAATAGAGAAATATGAACGCGCAAATAGTAAAAAGTACTCGGCAACAAAATGTCGTCTGCAAATCCTATGTTCATTACTATGTAAATGTAAGCAAGAACACTAGCTTTACCGCAGACGTTTATTTAAGTCTCGTTTGACACCGATACGATACCGCGACACGTAACGGAAACACTGGAGACTAGATCTAAAAATCCGCGAAATACATTCTTTTTTCTACTAACCTTATAGTCGAGCACGATTCTCTCAACCATTCCCTTGTCTAACATTTTCTTATACCACTCCTGCAATCTCTTAGGCTTTGGTATTTTTTGTTCTGCGGGATGGCAGTGGAAGATATAATCGTCCCCTTCGGAAGGTGGACAAGCCCAAATATGAGCCATAGTGTATCTACAATTTTACATTTTTCTTGTTTTACATTTGTTTTTTTAATATAAAATTTAATTTGTATATAAAATTTATAAAAATTAATTTTTTTAATATAAAATTAATTCATCTTAGATACAATATTAGATATCCATTGTGTGTGTGTGTGTGTGTGTGTGTGTGTGTGTGTGTGTGTGTGTGTGTGTGTGTGTGTGTGTGTGTGTGTGTGTGTGTGTGTGTCGTGTCGTATGTATATCAGTCCGGCGTTCCCTCTTAATGTTCGCGAGTCAGCTTTTTACGTTGCAATAATAATGGAGCTGTGTGAGCGTGGAATGTAAAGGGCTACACGGGT